GGTCTCTCCTGGGGAAAGACTACAGCTCAGTGGACACTGAATCAGGACATTCAATTCCCAACATCTCCGATAGTGCTGAGGCGGTGTCTAGTTTGCAGCCCTGGGGAGCCGTGGCCTGTCACGCAATTGACCACTGCTGGGCAACACCGAGCTACACCGAGCAACACCAATAACTTCATTTGCCATAAACCATTTTTCTGGATTGTTAGGAGAGTACTCAAGAGGGGCTGGCAATTCTGATGAGGGGTAACTGGGTCCACCTCATGTTTAGCTATGTTTAGTTTGGCTTAGCATGTGGTATGAATCCAGCCCCCATGGTGTTAAACCATGGTTTATGACAGGGCGATGCCAATCTAGTCACTGGTGGCAGCATATTTCAGCAGGTTCAGTGTGTGGCAAGGGGTTCCACCGTAAACCCAATTTTGCTCCTACTGTCTGGGCACAGAACAAAAAAGAATCCTTTCTATTTTCTTTCCTCTATTTGAGCCGGCGAACCGCTTTCCATTTACCAGATAAAACATTCAATGGTTTCTTCCGTCCAGAGCATTAGATGATTATGGAGCAATTACGTGCAGGAATTAAGGGACATTCTGCAGACCAAAAGCTTAAGCTCTATAGACGGACTGGTTTCACTCATTGCACAAGTAAGCCGACGTTGGCAGTACTCATGTGTCATCCTAAGCCACAACCAAACCATATTAAAACCAGCAAACAAATTACACAGAATTAGTTTCCTTCCTGCTCTCCTTCTGAGTGAGGCACAGAGGCAAAAAGTCAGTGATGAACACAAAAGGAAGGTGTAAACTAATATGAGGGCAAGGTTAATCTATCCTGACAAGGAAGCTGGAATGTAATCATCTCAGCAGACCTGTGTGCTCATATATGCCTTGGGTGGTGACTCTGTAGGTGGGGAAATTTCCATGAGATAAGATCAGGTTGAGTAATTACTTCCACTTTACAAAAAATATGACACCCTCTGCCTGTGTAAGGAGAGAGGTATACGTTTTAGCTCTAGAAAATTATTCTGCAACGTCAGGGAAGTTATAACCTGCCGTATAAACCTATCCCATTTCAAGATAGGATGCAGTGGAGCGAACAAAATGTCTTTGTGTCCTAAGTAGAACCTTGTATCTTAATACTATAAAAATGTCCTAATAAATGATGTAAAAAAAAAAAAAAAGTAAAGCAGGGGACATGCCTGTAGATGTTTAGCTATCCCCCTCAGAACTGTTTATTGAAATGTTACCATGGGATCCGATACAGTCTTTGTGCTATTGTTTCTCAGTTTACTCTGGCTAAACATTGGAAGGTTCATACCAGTCAATTATGATGAAACTTTACTGATGGCTAAAGATTATGATCTGGCATGCTAAATTGAAAAAAGGTGGAGGTTTGGAGTAGAGTTACCTTTTTCCAGCAGTAAATACTAGCTTTCTTCACCTTCTGCTTTCTTTTCAAACATCTGTGGCCATATCCTTAGGGACATGGCTAATTGCACTAATAAGAATTCAGCTGAGCCTGTCCCAGCCACCTCCTTCTTATTTAATCCATATGATAATTAGCTTGGTGGAGCAATAGTTAGAAGCAGCTTTGGCTGGTGAGATGTGAGTTCACTTATTAAGCCTGGTCCCTTTAGAGACCAACGAGCTGGAAAAAATAAATGTGTGAGGTTCTTAGGTCTCTTAGTAGAATATTTACTAGACATTGAGATGGGACTGATGCCAATACCTCTGTTGACGTAGTTCCTTATTTATATATTGCTGTAGTCTTCTCAAAAAGGAAAAGAACAGGCTGCCAGCTAAACATTCCCTAGATTAAGATATGGTACTAGCAGCAGTAATTGGAATAGCCAGTGTGAAAAGGAGAGCAAATAAAAATTACACCCAGTTACAGTGATCAGCCTCCGGCTATGCATGTTCCAGGTGATACTAACAAGCTCTGCGGCAGAATATGACGTAGCGGGAGATGCCCCTAGTAGAAAGTCATCTGGGGCAACACTAAGCATGCTTTTTGAAGCTATCAAGCAACTGCATAAGGTGGTAGTCAGCAACATTTGGGGCCAGATGGCACTTTTGGAATTTTGAGAGCATGTTGTAGGGAACTCTCACAAAATGGCTGCCATGGTGCCCATGCCTATCCTCTCACAACATTCTCATTTACCAGAAAACAAATTAATGAGCTTGTTCCATGACTTCCTCTCCTACCTCCTCGGATGCCCTCTGCTACCCTAGATTACCTTTGACTTTTTTTCTGGGCAGGTGGGAGCACTTGAGAATGAAGTTTAGGCTGGCACCAGCCATCATTTTGTGATGCTGATTTAATCTGCGTACCACTGTTCCTCCCTCAAGATGATGCTAGAAGATGGCACTTTGGAGCATGCTCCCTTCCCATGCATTTCTAATTAAACATTTTAACAAAATAATAGGAGGCTTATGGATGATTGGAGGACAGAGCCTCGTGCATGTCTCTCCCTTTCAGGGTCGCCTCCATCTCTGATACTTTACAATAAAGACTCTAATGTGATTCTTAGAACTCAGTTTTTTTCATTCAGCAAGATCCAGCTTCATCTGGCCTCAGGAAACAGGTTGCTCATTCCTATTAGGGCAAAGGGCTCCTATACTTTCTGCTCAGTTTGGTTTTGAGGTGAAAACTCTGAGGGCACACAATAGGTGGTAAGGCTGATGTCTTGGAAGATGAAGATGCCAGGGGAAAGGGGTCAGTGAAGCCTCCCTGGATGATACCTATAGGGCTGGTTGGGCAAGCAGGGAAGGACTGTGATGGATTGGGGTGGCCAGGGAGATGGGTGAGGACTACCCATGGCACTTGGTCTATGCCATGATCTCCTGATTGTTTCTGTTGAGACCCTGTGTAGAGGAATTAGCCACCCTCCGTACTTCCTGGCAAATATCCTCACTTTAAGAAAGGAGGTAGGGGTTTCTCTTCATCCAGTTTTTTTCCCCCCAACAAAAATGTATAATATGCATTTTTAAGAAATGGCTTTAACTTCAGCTACCTTGCGTAAGCAAAAGTATGGAAAGGCAAGACCCAAATTGAAATAAAGCCTGTGTACCTTGGATTGACAGTATCTTCTCTATATAAAATTTGAACTGTTTCACTATGTAAAAGTTCCTCTTCTGGGGCTGGTGCATATAACTGGGAGAAGACAAAGGATCCCTGTGGCCTGCCTTTACTGTGACTAAGTGGATAGAGAGCTTTTTTTTTTTTTTAGTGTGGCAATAAATCTTGTGTACCTGTGAAACAAAACTACGTGTGGACATTCAGATGTGAACTGGACCCTTGTTTATTACTTCAGCTCCTTTCCACTGGATGTTGCTGCTGTCAGTGTATAGCTGTAAGTCCTCATCCTTCCTTTGGCAGGGAAGTAAAAGGTTGTTTCCATTCACAGTGGATTTTGATTCCTTGCCTCCAAAATGGAAGGCTGGCCTTTCTGGAGCAGCTGGAGATTCTGTGGCTTTTTCCTTCTGAGAACAGTATGTCGTGATAGAAGCTAACTCATAGTGTCAGTCTTTATTCACCACTATGTTTAATGGCTCCTTGTGTATAGGTGGGGGAGCATTGTTATGCATGTAATGGAAGAAGAAGTTGTTCCATTGAGGGGGACAATGTGGCTTTATATGACTGGAAGGGAATGTTGCAGGGATGCTGCAGTGTGATCTTATTGTTTCGCCATGATGTGTTATTCAAAATTGTGTGTTTTCATCCTCCTGTCCTTGGCTTAATGAACATAGGAGTTTTTGGTTGTTTTATCAATGTCGCCATTATATTTCTCTCTGCATGGTATGATTTGTGTGGCCCATTGAATTACAATATAGTAATTTTAAAAATTCCAACTCAGAAAAAGTTAGCTATATTTAAATGGCACTGAAGTCAGTGCAGCATAAATTCATTGTGATGATTTTGTTCTATGAATTTAACTGAACCTATTGTAGATCTAACTTTCTGTGAACTGTAATAGGCTGGATGAAGAACAGTACACCGAAGCTGAATCCTGACAAGAGTGAGGCATTGTGGGTTGGCAGCTCATGGGCCAGGGAACCGGTTAGGTCTCAGACTCTGGATGAGGTTGTATTCCCCTCAAGGAACAGGTGTGCAATCTTGGTGTACTCTTGGGGTATTAATCTCTTTCACTTGAGCTCACTTAGCCAGCTGTGATCTTTTTGAATAGGAATGGCCTTTCCCTGTAGTCCACATTCTTGTAATAGATTATTGCAACACACTCTACGTGGGACTGTCCTTGATGATCTCAGAAACTGCAGCAAGGCTGTTCAGATAATATATAATACTTGTCCTAAAAGTACTGCAGTATATTCGTTACTGGTTGGACTTTGTGCTTTTAGTAATTATCCTAAATCTTAACAGTTTAGGATCCCAGTGCTTGAGGGAACATCTCTCCCAGTATATACCTGCCCTGCAGGAAGAACCCTTTTCAGAGTCCCACACCTAGAAGAAAGTTAGGTGAGTCCTGCACATCTATCGTGCAGTTGCTGTGTTTGGGAGAATGGAGGATGAAATAATATATTTGCTTCTTTTGTTGTTTCTTGGATAAAGGAAATTTAAATATCCAAGGCAGTGAAAGAAGTGAAAGGAGACTAACAATTTTGCTAACTTTTTTTTGCATTTTCCCATTAATTCCTATATACTGGTTCTCACTTTGGTCCGCATATGGCGGATTTAAACTGTGCAAGTTAAAATCGGAAATTTCATTAACATCTTCGGAACGCCGCCTCAGTGCTTAACATAAAAGAAGTTCTCTATTTGACGTTCTACAGTCCACCTTATTCTCACTATACAAGCGACCCTTAAACTTGCATGCACTGGTTTGAGCGTGGTAGACGTTCTATCACTCTTCCTTCCACTCTATATTTAATCACTTCCGAGCATGTGACATACTCTCCTTTTTGGGAAAGCGTCGGCTTTTCCGGTTTCCGGTTGCCTTAACGCTATCGGAATAGGAGGTCCTGTTTCCGGCCATAGAGAGTTTAGCCTCTCCTCTCCTTCCCGTCTCTCTATGGTATCTTAACTTGTGGCTCTCGTAGAGATGGGAGGCCGGGGGGGCTTTTTCCGCCTAAAGAATGCGTCGTTTTGACCCCCCTACTGGATCGCTCTGTTTTTGGTTGTTCCTCTAGTTGTCTATGGTTCTCTTAAAGGGGCCGCTTGGCTTCCAGAGCTGCGGGGTCCCGAGATGCTACTTACGGTGAAGGCGCTCCAGGGCCGGGAATGCAGCCTCCAGGTAGCCCTTCTTCGGGGGCCGAGGTCGCAGTGGATCGGCGCTGGGGGCTTGCCGGGCAGGCGCCGCGGCTGTCCCCGAGGGCAGAGGGAGGCGGGCCTCCTGGAGGGTCCGGCCGCGGGGGGAGCGCGCCTCTCCCTGGGCCTTGGGC